TTTGTTCCCACGGTATTGCATTCTTTGCACAACAATTAACAAATAAAATAACCCACTTTATAACTACATTATGTTACTAAGCGGCCATTATGTGTACAATTTATAATTTTAAACTCCTGATTTTAAAATGTTTCGTGAAATATTCAATGAAATCTCGGCCGAGTTTGCTATGCTACAAGAAATTATGTGACTTTGAGATAAGAAAACTTATTATCAATGTGAATGTCATATGAAGTTATTAACAACGTGTAAAGAACTAAATGTTTATAATTATGGAATGGATATCAGCAACAAAGCGACTGCAAACTTGCATCAGAAGACAAGCAGAAGAGCGATGATATAAGCATATCGGGACACGGCGCGCGTCGCGTGGTGCCGAACCAAAACAAATGGAGGCGACACCGTTACACCACTTCGCGGAATTAAATAAAGTAAAAAATGACAGTAACCAACGGTAATCTTTGTTCGTGTAAGGTCGAAACCCCGTGTTCACGGTAAAGCACCGCCGACTCACAATCTAAGAACGCAACGATATAATTTGTCGGCAATTAAAATCAAACTGAAGCGATGCGATGTCGTTGTCCGACGATATACACGCTCCGCAACATCCGCAACTATCTGCCAAGTAAACTCAACGAACATATGTGCGCAAAAACCCCGCCGAGTAGTACCGCGTCTTTTTAAAAGGGCAATAAATAATGACAAGTCGGCCGGTTGCCACCTTCAGTGCACCCAGATGGCACAGTTCCCAGTGAAAACACTTTTGGAATCTCTAACCGAATTTTAAAGCCCGGCCTATTGAAATTAAGTGTTGTTTATCTCTAGTACAAAAGTATATCTATTACTCGTATGTATGAACTGTAATATATCGTGGTGTGCCACATTGAATTGGAACTGGTCGGTACTCGCCGGTCCTGAAGGACTGGTATTGTAGCAAAGAAATGATACGCGGAAGCCATCTCGTTTATATAAAGCATCAGAAAAAGGCAAGTTTCTCTTCCAGGAATGCTTAGTGCACCTTAACGCAAAAGTGGAGAAAAAAATAAGCAGTAATGTAGCTATTGTGTGGTCATGAGGTGAAGACGGAAGACTGGCGGCGTGGGAGTGAGCGCGGGAGCTAACCTGCAGCGCCACGGGAAAATGTCGCTGTATGGGCGCGTTCACATCGATGACAATATGTGCAAAAACAATCAGACTATGCGCCGTCTTAGTACGACGAAGAACAATTAACCAGCAGGTAGCTCACATGATCGTGCCACAGATGTCGATTGTTGGAAAATCTATTTCATTACTATGCTAAAAGCTTTGATATAAGAGATGGGTTTATTACTCTTCAATACTATTAGCCAGTAAGTTAATTAAAGGAAGTATGTTGGCATGTGAATTGGAGCAATCACAGCGAGCAATGGCTTTTACGTAGCTTTGATGTTAAATCAGTTTACGACTCATTCCTAAACCTTATTGGGAGGTGGGTGGATACTTAAACCTTAGTTGATGCACATGCTCATCCTGAAGAACCTATTAACAACTAATCTGCTATATAAAAACATAATAAGAAGATACACACATCCATTCAAACATTCTACAATTTGTGCCGACAAATTAAAATAGCTCGGCGGCGCTTGACTTGACAAATGACTTTGTTGCTTCCCGTGACAACTTTATTTGTGTTTTGCTTATTAATTATATGCAACAAATAAGTTGTAATTTAAATGAAAATTGTTGTAATGAACTACATAGTTTGGTGTAGAATAAGACAATATTCTTATATCTGATAAATACGTCGAAAGTCAACCACTGAACGACCTCCAGTACGGGTTAATATAATTCCTTAATTGTTGAAAAGAGTACCTTCTAAAGATACAAATTGCTTTGTCTCAGTAGATGCAAAAAGTTAGAAGCTATTTCGTTCGAATCGCCTTTGAGTATTTCTGTAAATTTCTCATTATTTCAAAGTGTAAACGTTTACTGGAAGAATAGCAGCGAACAATGTCATATTCTCATTTATCTGGTAAGTTTCTGTAACCTAATCTGTGATTACGCCTGGGTCGGTACTCACGTGAAGTTTACATTACGGCCCGCTGTAGACGCCATTGTGTCCAAGAATCGCACTAACATTATAGATGTAAGTACGTATAAACACGACAAGTTCAGAATATTGGAATATTTTCTTTGATTATCTAGATTTGTGTATGAGTTTTCTAATTAAGGAGTTAGCATCGGTAAATTGAATAGTTATAATATGTTTAAAACAATTTATTTTTAAATGGCATACAGCACACTTCCTTCAGATATTGTCGCAGCTAGATTGTACAGTACATACGCTATTAGCAATTACAAAATCGCCCGGATTAATTTTGAAGACCAAAATAAAGTCGTCCAACCATCGATTTCGGTATAGATCAGACCGGTTTTAGTATCAATCATACGATTATTTTAAAATTAAAAAATGGTAATTATATGTATTGCTGCCCTCTTAGCACAAACATAATTGCCATCTTACTTGAGATCTTTTCAAGGCACACATCTTCTTATCTTATACGCTATCATAGTTATTACATAATTTAGTTTGTCATACAAACCGTCCACTTGCTAAGCTAACAGGATGACCAGTGACATAGTGTGCAGCGCATGTCACAACAACATGATTAGACTCAGTATAAATGATGAAAACAGGTCAACATGACTCCGGGAAGGTATTCGGATAAAATGTATGTTATGCGTTAATTAGAATTTATGTTTGAACGTTGTTGTAATGTTATTGCAATCATGTACCTCATATTAGATTCAGATACCTAATTGGATATAGAACTGTGCAACTTAGGTAGTTCTATATAAAAAATCGTCTGTTGATGCAATAGAATATCAATAAAATCAAAAGCCCGGTAACGCACTTATAACGCCTATGGCGTTCCATCCAGGTGTGCGATGGGCGACGCCGATTGCTTACCATCAGGTGATCCGTTTACTAGTTCACCGCCATAAAAAAAAAACTAGAGTAGAGACCGAGATAATATCTAGATTATTCTTATTGATTTTCCATTCTAATTTTACTAGAGTAGGTAATCAATGAGATAAGATCCATTTATTTACAATCGGAACACAATCAGTTATTATATACCGATCTACTGAATAGGAAAACGATTGTGAAACAGTTATATGTTGAGTTATAAATATTCTGAGAGAAATGAAACGAGGTTTATATAGTTTTACTAAATACGATCAAAAGGAATGAATTATGAACCTTGCATGAAGCGAATCGGTCTGAATACGAATGTTTATATGGGTACAAACAGTTACCTATGCAGACTGCAGTGATACAAATAAATCCTATAAATACTAGGTTCCTCTACTTTACTCACAGGTCAGTTAATTGATAATACACATTATAAGGGCCAAAGTTTGTAAACTGTTTACTTTATAAAGATAAGACTTATCATAAAGGTTATTTACTTTAGTTTTAATCTGTTGTTGGCATAATAAGGATATGGGTATGAATTATGTTCTACAGTAGTCATCCCCTATTACATGGAACTTATAACATAAATAGTGAAAAGTGGGTGTTACATTGTACTGTGGGATTAAGCGCCGTAATATGCACCACTGCTTACCCCTTCGGGGATAAATAGGCGTGATGCTATGTTATGTAGATAATTGATCTTTTAAGGGACGAACCGTTCCTAACGTTCTAAAACCGCTGCAAGTCCTGTAAGCCAGGATCTACAGTAGATACAACTATGAAGTGGTTTATTCTTGATTTATTAAATATGTGATAAATAAGAATGGTTAGATGTTAACACGATAGTAGGGACTGTGAGTGCCATAAAAGACTAAGATCCTTTAGCCATTGTTGAGCGGAGATTATAAATAAGTTTAATAGCTTGTATGCATGTATAAAGTATATTATACATTTATCGTAACTTACATGATTTATGGGACTTACATGGATTTTGTTGTGTCAAAGATAATCAACAATTGATTTAAAATTTTTCGTAAAGATTTATTACATTTTCTGATATAAGAAGTCTAATTAGAATAGTTATCTTTACAAGAACAAAATTACGGACATGTGAGGCGACAAAGTCACTTGTTCTAAGTATTAGTTGATGACAAAATAATGTTTTTACTAATTACTTGTTTCACACTAACGTAGGAAGTGTATAATTGAGATGAATAAATATCATATAAGAATGACAAAGAATTCATATCTAAATGGTTCAGAGTATTACTAAACTGACATTGAATATTCGTATAGTATGTATTTTTCCTGGCAGTACAGGTTTCCATATCTATTGCGTGAAAATGTGTAAAAAAATTAAAAGACAAATTCGTGTAATCGATTCTTTGCCAAAACATTACCGCAGGTGCGTAATGTTCAAAATCGCTAGATTTTTATTTTGTAGCGTTTGCTTGTAAAAGACTTCAACGCACGGAGTTGTAGCTCAAACATTCCTACGCGTCAATAATATTTAGTTTATTTGTCATGAATCATATCATATACCTGACCTTTGTTTTGTATTAAATATCTTTTTAATGTGTATTGGGCAATTTGTTGTAAGTAATTAAAGCGACCGACCACTAACTGCCTGCAGGTGATCGTTTATTGAACACTTGACGTTGAATTGTTCCGATTTCTTGGTAAACAATCATAATTTATAGTATTAGCCTCGCATACGGATATTGACCCAATCATTTAACCGCATTAAACCGTAACTCTTTGTATCACAATATTCGTGCGTAATAAATTAAGTAATTAGGCAGGCGGTGAATCGATTAATTACAATTACTTCTAAATGCCGGTACACAAGGACGCTTAAAGCTTTCCTCGTCAATTAGGAAAGCTTTGAAGTCCCATAGGTAAGATAATGGAATAAGACGTGAAAGCGCACTGGGCATGCGACCTTAGTACTGTGATCTGCGTTAATGACGCGATTTCTTGGTGCATAAATCAGCTGTGCGAGACTCCTACGTAAACAAATTTAAACACAATACGTACTCACCGTAAACAGACGGCAGTATTGAAAATAAAATCACCTCCAATGTGGTCACAAAAACAAACATAAACAACACAAATCCAGAAATGTCAGTTTGAACGTATCACGATTGAGTAAACGTTTCGTACACCACTTTATTCACTTTGCGTCGAACGAGTAAAGTTTCGCTGTGGCAGCGAGCGCGGTGCGTGCGTCGTACTCGGAGGGCTCGAGTCGAATGCTCGATTGGTGCTGGCTGGTGGTCGCGCTAACCCGCTCGCCGCTCGCCGCCGCCGCATGCGTTTCTTGTGGACGCGCGCCCGCCTCGCTTCCGTGCGCCACTCAGTATGCGTTCGTGCCAATATGCATTATACTCGATGATCTGTCCACATCCTGCGGATCCTGTGCTCTCTAACAATAGCTCACGAGGGTGATACTGTCATTTACTTCCACACGAGAATGCATTTTTGGGCGCTCAATTGTTTAAACATAATGGTTTTATTGGAAAGCTAGTTGTTTTCTGTTTCTTGTAGTACGAATTTGTTTACAATAAATTGGTGATGAGTACCAGAGAAATGAAAGGGACGATGTGGTATTTCTTAACTTTCAGCTAATATGATAACCATACTATATGTAGACTGGGGTGGTCACAGGTTGGCCAAATTAGTTCAAAATAATTTGCTATGGAGTAATGAATTAAAGTTTGTTTCCAGTCCCAACACAAACAGATCTGCCTTGTTTGACTTTTGTGAATGGTATGTGGCTGTTGTTCTTGTTTATATAAGAGTAATGTGGTATTTAGCAATTGTTACATCTCACGAAAACAAACAAAGAGGCTATATTTTGACAACAGAATTTGTAATGGTGGTTAATCACAGCTCGGGTCTTCCATTGGTGAGGTTTCTGCATAAACCTATATTCTATCTCTTCTCTTCCAATGCAAACTTCTGATTAATTTCGACGCTGGATACAAGAAATTAACCCTAGGAGTCAGTGCATCAGGTCTCCTGCTTCGGAGCGTTTTTGGTTGGTCGCTAGTTAATATTTTCACTTTATAGGGGTAGCAGCGATTGACTGACATCCGAAATTAGTAACCGATCCTAAACTAAAATCTTTGTAAAGAGATTTTTTTGGTATTTATTCTAGTTACAATAATTTTGGTCGTTCCAGAGATTTTCAATTCAACCCGTGTTGGGTTGTTAAATGGCTTGATGCAAAAAACTGATAAGGTATTTTATGTTCATTTAAATTTAAAAATAAGTCCAAAATATGGTTCACCATACATAAACAGTTAACACAATTTGCGCCAGTCTATTAGTATATGGCCTTCTTTTCATAATTTTATCGCGTTTTGAGATTTACTGGTAGAATATTATGTAAGCGCTATTAACAAACACTATTACCAAACTGCTAAGTAAGCGCTATTTTCATTGCGACAAGTTTAGTGAGTTCTATCGGACCATTTAAAACTTTTAATGATATACTCACCGGACAAGATAGACTTCAATATTCTTGAAATGTTCGATATTTGATGTCTTTATGCATTTACATAGATATGTGTGTACAACCTATGAATCTGCATTAATCGATATATATACTTATATATTTTTTATTAAAACTTTGCTCCACATTAGGTATTAATTAAATAAAACTTTGCAACACATTTTTTCCTTTGTCATGAGCGCGTTTTAAAACATACAATTTCACATGCACATGACACGCAGCCTCGGAACAACAATTTGTGGATCACACAAAGAGTTGCTCCGTGTGGGAATTGAAGCCGCGATACGTTGCATGGCAGCCGGTTGCCCAGCCACCGCGCCGATCGTGTTGTCAATCTATCCTAATCCCCAAAAGGCCGGTAACGCACTTGTAATGTTTCTGGTGTTTTAAGTGTCCATGGGCGACGCCGATTGCTTACCATCAGGTGATGCGTTTCATGCGTTGCTCGTTTACCGGCTTATCCCATAAAAAGTGTTCCTACGTGGTCGGTAATGCACTTGCAATGCCTATGGTGTTGCAGGAATACTTAAGCTGCTTTGAACGTTTACTATTAGGCAACCTTAGTCAAATAATTATGTTTAAGATATAAATTTTTAAATTTTGAAAGTATCTTTTAAACTGAAGTAATGGAAATGGTTGAAGCCACGTGCAATATTAAGTAGTATTTAAGTAAACTTTCATTGACTTAACTGTTTTATCAGGGGGTAATAAACCGTTGCTTAATCACGTGTTACCAGCGTCCTGTAGTTCGGCACGTGGCGTTGAGCGTCGGTAGTGCGCGTGTGATCGCCATTGCGCGTACGCATATGCTTTCAGTTTTATGTATATGTAATTTTTGGTTTGCTACCCGTACTTGGTGCGATATAATTTTTAGTTATATTTGTAATGTAAATATTACAAATATTTTGAATGTAAAAATTACTTTTTTTCTTGAATTGATTAATAATGGACGGTGAAAGGATAAGTCTATTATTAATTTTTAACATCGAAAATTGTTGCATCTTTCTATAGATTTGTTTCTTCCAGAGAACTAACGAGAATCACGCATAGATAACACTTTTCAGAATCTAAAGTTAAATTTCGAAGATCTTGTTAATATTAAAAACGTTTTGATAAATAAATCGAGAGAATATCTTGGAAAAATAAATGGAAAACGTACAAATATGTCCATTTCTTTTAGTTTAGAAGTTGCAAAGTAAATACCTACAGACAGTGGACATGAATCAGATCAGGTCGATTATTCTTCAGTCATAGAGTATACAATTCTCAAAGTAGTGTGGATTGATGAGCGACAGACGAATAGTTCATAGAACGGTTAGACGACATGTAAACAGTTCACTACCGCTGAGAAAACTCCAACTATCATTAATTTTTTAATGTTGAAGATAAACGATTGCTCGTCTTGAAACAAAATCAGATTTTAAACCGTGTTTAGACTCTGATTGTCGAAGAATAAGACGAGATACTTTTGTACTTTTTTTTTGGGATCTTTTTCAATTTCTCGAAAGTAGTTCATTTTTAAATACAGATGCATTTAATTTCTCATCTTATGTGATAACAATTTCGAACAAGAAAGTTTTATGCTTAGGATCAACAATTTCCGTGTTTTTCGAGGTATGAAAGTGAAACACCTGAGTATTAAGTTATTGTACTCAACACTTCGATAAATCCTAGACTTAGAAGTCAATTAGCTACGTCACAATAGGTCCCGTTAAGGACAGCACATGCTCACTCAGTCACATGCACTCACTTGTTTCCGGAGTGAATGAGTGGTTATCGCGAAACTGCTTAGAAGTTCATTAACAAATCATTTTCACATTTCTTTACGAGTGTTTAGTGTTACACTAATAACACCGGAATTCTCGTAGGTAATAAATTATTAACACGCTTACCACACGAGTTAAACCTTACAGTTGTCGCGTGACTGATGTTTGCTAAACATACTAGTTTAACCCTTTGAGCGCCGCTTTATGCGAAATAACAAGTAAGTGACTGAGAAATATTGTGTAAGCGACGCAAATAAATTGTCAACTTGTTTATAAGTTAATTTTGTTTGGAAACAGTTTTTTTATAATGTTGTAAAATTACTACTACAGTTGTTCTTGTTTTTAGATTTCGAGATAAGTCGAAAGTTCCTTGCTTTTTGAGCCATTCTCGTTTTAAGTCTCAAAAATGAAATGTTTCTGTTATAACTAGGTCAAGGAAAGTTCATTGTAATTAAGCATCTACACATAAATTGTAAAGTAAAAAGTGAAAACGGACAATTATCAAAATTGCGAACGCCTGGAATCCGAAGACGGATTTCAAAATAGATAGAACCGTTGAAAAAAGTAGTCAGATATCTCAGTTTAAAGCTGGGTAGCGCTTCTAGTGTTACATAAGGTCACGCCAGGATTTCGAAGGGTTAATAAAACGTGATGCGAGCGTGACTAAAGCGCATGCTAGCATCTTACTCTTTACGATCATGTTTTCTTTCAAATTGTTATAAACTGTTTATGATTTTCAATTCCCCTATTCCGATTCCAGCAGAATGTTTGATGTCAAGATGTAAACAAACTGGAAGTCATTAGCGAGACGTCATAATAAAGGGATGTTGTGACGAATCGGTAATGGCTGATGGCTAGTAGTAAAACATTGTAGAGTATCATTGCACATTTATTATTTTAAATTCATATAATAACTGTGTCTAAGTGTAGGGTAATCTTAGTGCAGTGTCTAGCAGTGTTTAAAGTTTTTACATTTTTAATTATTTTTTTAAAATGTAAAAACCTTAAACACCTTGTCGTACAGACTTTATCTACGAAAAAGTTAAAAAAATAAGTTATTTCAGTTTAGATCAACTTGAAATCAACTTGAAATTAGTATTAAATTAGATAAATTCGTATGATAGTCGAAGGATCTTTTATTAAACAATCAATTCTTCTCCAGTTCTTCTTTATTCGAATCTACATTTTGGAATGAGCACCTAGCTTCACTGACGAACTGACTGGCAGACTATTTTTTATTTTGTATTTGTTGACGTTTCAAAAGTATCAAATTATGGTTTAATTGAAACAAATGACTTTGACTTTGACTTTGAGATGTTCATTGTAAATTGCCTTTTTCACGTCACGAGTCCTATATGCACAATACAAAAGGCCAACATGTTGTTAAATAGACACTAGGTTTAATTTCAGTCTTTGAATTATTGAACTGACAAAATCTAGATTGATAAGAAAGAAATTCAAATATAGTTACAAGAATTTGCATAAACGTCACAAAAAACTATACTTGGATAAGGAATTGTATTGAAATGTCGTAGTTTACGTCTTGAACAGTTACGGTGGCACAGTTGGACGTACCACGTGACTCGAGGGCCACGTGCCTGCTTCAGATGCACTTCAAGATCTACCCCAAGGCACGAAACTGACCTCCTTAAGTACTCTGGAAAGTTCTGTCCTATCTAACCATCAATTTCTTTGAAGACAGGTCGAATGGATTCTTTTTTTATTAGAATGGATTTACTTGCCTTGTTAGTCCTTAAGTTATTTTCGGTGGATGGTATTGTTGTTTGTTTGTATGTTATATATATGTTAGTGTGGATAT